AAAAAGTGAACAAAATGAAGTAAAATGAATTAAACCAGAATGTCTATCGTCAGTGATAATACCTTTTCTGAAATTACCACGCAATTTGATAATAAAGCAATAGTATTTAAAAACTATCATTTTGGTTTGCGACGGACCAAAAAAGATGGAAGTCAAGTTTGGATATGTACACATAAGTTATGTAATTCCACCATCACCATACATGAAGGTGCTATTATAAAAACATCGCTTATAAAAGCTGATGGAAATCATGAATTTGAACATCCACAAAAAATGGCTTTAAATGTTTATGAGTGCATCACATCCATCAAACGAAAGATTGAAGAAGAACCTACAGCACCAGTATCATTGTTATACGACCAACTAGTAAAAAAATTTAGAAAAGAAAATGGTAGTGCAGCTGCAGTTCCAGTATTTGATCGTATTAAATCATCATTATACGAATATCGCTCGTCCCAGCATCCACCAATACCAAAATCATTATCAACTATTGATGTACCTGAACGACTTACTACGTTCGCTTTGTTATCGATATATCAAGGTGTTTGCTGAAACTGGAAAAGATGACCTAGATTATATACCTAAACAATGTTAAATGTTTCTTCTCTTTTCATATAGGATATTTTTTTCTTCTCATTTATCATACTTTTTTTTCTAATAAATTAGTGTATTGATATCATTATGCGAACATTTTCCAATTTGCGGTCATTTTTGTGTCTCCCCCCCCCCCCCCCCCCCCCCCTTTGCTTTGTTTTTTTTTTTTCTTTTTTTTTTATTTTTTTTTTTTTAATAATATTTTTTTTTTTTACTTTTTTCGAACTTTTTCTTTTTTTGGGTTTTTTTTTTTTCCCCCCCCCCCCCCCCCCAATTCTGCTTTGCGGTCATTTTTTCTTAATTGGCAGAAAAAAGTGTCCGCAATCAAGAATTAGCCCCTAATGATACTAAGAAAATCTTGTAAACATATCTTTAATAGGAGATCTGAGAGACAAAATGTTCCTTTTGATTCCTAAAGATAATCATACAAATTTAAACTTAAATTATTTCAAACATGTTTAGATGTAATTTAAATTATTTTAAATTTAAAATAAAATAAAATCTTTTTGCCAATTTATTTCTGGATTTAATAAATTTTTGTAAATATAAATTGATCATCCCTATTCCTTCATGTAAAATAATCGATCAAACATTATTTGATAATCGCTTATGGCATCACAATTTCAGAAAAAAGATTATAGCTTAGTTAGACATTTTTATCATGTGCTTGTTCATATTCATTCGCTTTTCAAAAGTTAGTTAGGTTCGTTTTCGGTCTCTGATTCAGAAAACGATAAAAAATTACAAGTTCAATAATGAAAACGCTAAACAAACAGCTAAGCTTGAAGGATATGCTGGAAAAAAAAAATTATATTTATCTCTATTTGATTGTATGAAATAATGGCATTTTATGAGTGGAATTGTTTTATCCTGTGAAAAATATTTACATACTGTTGCAAATTTTGAAATATGGAGTACTCATGTTGCAATACAATTTTGAATATTTGATAATTGTGATTTGCTACGATAATATATTTATTTTTCATTAGATTCAGATATCTGTCACAGTACTTATCTTATGAGTTCAATAGAAAGTCAATCTCTTTCATCTACGAATGAGATGAAAATTATTGAAAGAAAATAAATTAACTCAATGGATGTCGATGAATAGAATGAATTTATATCGCGTGTTTAAGGAAGAGAATCGTACGTACAAAATCTTATTCAATCTAACTAAAGCAATAGAGTTTGAGCTGGTATCTTTGCGACGATTAATGTTTATCAAGTTCTATGTATGATTAAAATTTCAAAGCAAACAAAATATTCCTATTTTGATAGTTTTTTTGTCTTGCTGCAAGACAATTTTTATTTATCGAATTTTGAAACAAAAACATATTAAAATAACATGAATATTTTTTTTTGAAATTTATATATTTACATGTCATTATTTCTCGTTATCAAATAATAGAAAAACGAAGCGCCTTCTTCAACGATCATAAACAATTACTACATAATTTTTTTCCAAATATTTATTAGCTTTTTTCCGGTATCCATCTGTTTATAATCAATGAATAAAATTCTCATGAACTTTTCATATCTACATATGTATTTAGCAAAGATTATTTCAAAGTAAGAATCAGCATATTTGTCTATTGTTTACAATCATCTACCATTCATCTCACCCACTACACATCATTAAGAATCTCCTGTTCGCTTCTTTAAAATGAACCATTCATTCTTCGTTCGTTTAAAAAACGTCTCGAAAAAAGTGTCTTGTTTGTTTTTCAAACCTTATCGATTTCAAACACGTGGCCTCTAGTTGCTCATACCCACTATTATGTTGGAAAAAAAAATAACTTGGGAACAATGACAACAACATTCATTCTATTATGATTTCTTTTTCGATTCTTCTTCTTCCTTCTTCGATGACGATGCATTCGTTTTGTTGTTGTTCTTTGATGTAGGCTTGCTTCGCGAGCACTCTTGAAATGAACGATGAGAAAATTTTCAATAGCAAACAAAACACACCCCCATCATAGCAACCGACTAAAAGAAAACGGCATCATATCTGGAATTTTTTCCGACATATTTGTCATAGTCTTGAGGAAAAGCAAGAATACGCTTTTCTTACCGCATACTTCAACAGTAAATGATTATCGTGCTTCAAAAGCCACGAAGAATCTTATGATGACATCATATATGGAAGAAGAGATCGGAAAACATTGACAATTGATGATACAGAGAGGAAGGATTCAACAATCAAGAAAAATTGATGCCATCATATGTGAAGAACTCTTTGTAATATTGCAGGATAGTGAATTATCCATATCTTCATTCAAAATATTTCGAATTTTCTGTACTTGTCATATTTTTTTCGTCCTACCATCATCATTAATCGTTTAATTATTTAAGAAAATTTCGATTGTGTATTTTGAATTGTAGGACTATTCCGATGCTGACGCGTGAATGTAGTGTCTGTTTGTTAATGCAACCTGAACAAGAATTTTATTCTGTTTACTGTAAAAGATGTCAATATAGAGTTCGTCAAGTTTGTAACCTATGCACCTATAATAGTATCAAAACTATTCTTGATGACAACATCAGTAGTCAAGTATCTTGTCCTGAACCAAAGTGTTCGTGCAAAGTTGAATTCAGATGAAATTCGTCGAGTGCTTGCTATTTATAATGACTATGTGTTATGGAAAAAATACGATAATTATCTAATCAGACAATATCTTAGCAACATAGATAACTTTTATTAGTGTGCTCATGGATGTGGTGCCGGTCAACTCAATGATAGAAAATCGACTCGAAACTTAAAAATTACTTGCATCGTATGCAAAAAAGATACATGTGCATTTCATCGTGTTAAGTGGCATGAAGATATGACCTGTGATCAATATGATCAACTGTATCCATCTATTGATTCTATGATACAAAAGTGAATGAAGAAACATTCAAAAAAATGTCCCGGATGCCAGTGTAAAGTTGAGAAGAATGATAGATGTTTTCATATGACCTGTGAAAAATGTCATCATCAATTCTGTTGGGATTGTCTGGCCAACTATAGAATGTTTCGCAGAAGGACACGTCTTCAACACAAAATAAGTTGTAAACATCATCCTATCGGATATATTTTACAATCTATTCGTTCATTAAGACATCGAAGGTCATAGACCGAAACAGTCCTATTAATCAAAGATATTAATCACTAAATGTGTTCGTTTTAATAATAAACTTGATTTTTTTTAATGAATTTCGAATACTGAAAGTTATGAAACTCATATGGTTCTATTGTAATCAAGAGAACAGTTTTGTACATCAGTTGATTAAGAATAAAAAGATGATGTCAGTAATTTTGTATTGTAGATATGGTTAAATAGAAGACTGACACCCACTCACCCACCCACAGAGTAGAATGACCGAAAAATAAAAAAAAAAATATTGTTTTTTTGAAAATTTTATTTGTATCATAAACACGATAAATTGAATAGGTCTTTACATTTGCAAGTAAGCATTCAATTTCATCAATTGACATTTGAAAACTATTTTAGTTGCATGATTAAGTTGTTTTGACTTCAATCAATTCCATTTCATTATTTGTCACTTTGTGCACTAGTAGTTGTGATTTTATTTCTTGTGAGACTATATTCGATGGTATATTCAATCCTAATGTTCCTAGTTTGGCTGGAAAATATAGAACTGCCTTTGATCTTTCTACTTCTACTTTATTAGATTGAAGTTTTAAATAAAGAACAAGTTTGACCGAGTTGTTTAAACTATTTCTTTTTAGATGAAATATCATTTATTTAAAAACTTTGATTTGTTTACTTTGACATGAAATTATTTTAATTAGTTTTTGTTTTCAACAATTATCTCTTTATATTTAATCGAAATGATATGTAGTTATGTTTTAGATTATATGAAAGTATGATCTTTTGAATATGATAATCTTTTCAGTTAAATTTTCTTTGAGTTCTGCATTCTATGCAAAGTTGATTTATTCTTGATAGATTTTTATTTTATATGTAAAATATATATTGTATTTATGATGTTCTCTCATTCACATAGATTGCGAGATTATTTTGTTAATTGTAATAAATATTTATCGATGCCAAAGATACGTACAATAAGCATTTATTTATGGTATAATCCATCTGAGAAAGTATATGTCTGATAGATATCATAATAAAATGATAATAAGGTGATATTAAATAAGAAGAAATAATCATTTTCTAACCAATTACATTGAGTTTCATAGAGATAAAGAACTGACTGTAAACATAAAAGGAGGTAAATTGTCTTTATTACAAGGTACTATCGAGCTTAAATTGTTGCTTCTCATTGATATATTCTTTCTCTCTGTATACTTAAATATCGATATGAATGGTCTTAATTCAATTTTTATTTATTAATATCATTCAAATAACTATTAAATATTTTCGTAAAATATTTGTTCTTTATCTCTATTCAAGAACAGCTGCAACACATCGAACACGGCACGAACACATAGGACGACAACATTTGTGTGTTGTTGAGCAGTCACCATCACCGTTGCACAATGGAACTAATTCTTGTGGAAGACAAACACGACGACGACAACGAATAGGAATGGGAAAATGACTTAATGGACATTTACCTTAAGAAAAACCAATAGAAATAGTCTTTTTATGTATACAAATGCAAACATACCATCGTGTACAGCTACTTCACGGCGCTGTTTTGATCCAGCTCCGATCGAACCAGCAACCAAAAGTAACAATAGAATAGCAATTGAAGGAGTCCAAGTCATTGTGAAAATGAGTGTAATATTCAGTAGCAGTTTCGGTTTATATATATATGAAGTCTATTGATGGGAAAATAGACACATGTTTGCACTATACTTTGCTCTTTGATATGTATCTTGTAATATGCATTAAGTCACAATTTGTTAAAATATAGATTTATTTTTTAAAAAAGAAAAGAAGATAAATGATTTAAAGTTTATTTAAAAAAAACAAAACGTTCAAAAGTAATTCTTTGTGTTTTCTTATGCGTTTTAAAACTGAAGAAAAATGAAATCGAAATTATTGCTTATTTATTGAAACTTTTTTGTTGTACTTGCTGTTTTTGCTATTATTATCAACTAAATATGTTATTATTTGTTGATTTATGCCCTATGTATTGACTTTATCAGTATTTAAGCTATCACCTAGGGTAGATATGAAGTGTCGACGTGAATGTGAAGAGCAACCACTAACAAGTACACTCATACCCAGAACACACTATTTAGCAAAGATAACCAAATGTTTTAGCCGTGTTAAAAACGTTGAGAATTCTGTACTATCAGGATTGTAGAGCAAGTGACGCTCTACCAAATACACTATGCCACCATATCGAGCAATTCGGTTTTTTAGAATAATTGTGGATGCAATATAGCGCTGTACTTTTGTGTGGTCGGCGACCAGTCCGATTTATTTTTTTGGATTTTATTTTTGACCTTGTTTTAGTGTAATAATCTATCAAAAACCGATCGGTGAAAATTGTGCGAAAAGAATGTCTTTTGAAGGTTTTTTGTTTCTTACTGATTAGAATATTTTCAGTCTATTTCCAGATTAATTTTATACGCATGGTAGAGACTATGCAGAAATACTCAATGGGAATCCAGAGAATTCACCGGTTTGCCCTTGGCTTGTTTACTTCTTACTTGTTTCACATGGGCAATATTAACTTGACAAGTGTTGAGCTTTCCTTGAATAACTAAATTAACAGACTTACGAAAAGTATAATAAGCAATGAATAATATGTGAATGAAAAAGAATGTATACTATACAACATCAGTACAAACAAGGTTCTAGAATAAGGTCAACGGTCGCAGTAGCACATAAACAAATAGTTCGTAACTATGAGACAGTTTATAATTGTTGTTGCTTTTATATATTAACTTAATGGACTGGAATTCGATTGTCATCCGCATTCAAGTCGTTTCTCATCTGCCGAACAATTAATGTTTCACATATACGTACCATTGGTTGTCGATATACGGTGTAAGGAATGATGGTAGTTGCACCTATCGTCGGATTGATTTGATTATTCAGACGTTGTCGCCAACAATTCGATATTGAACGAAAAAGCTTGATTAATTCAGTACGAAAAGTACGTGATGTTAGTGTATATAAATAAAATGACGAAACAGGAAATACGTAGAGCATTAACTCAGCCATAAAAGCAACAAATCCTTCAATAGCCAAGTCATCAGCTGATTTGTTGGGAAAAGTAGTTGCAATAGTATTATACACCAAATTAATCATTTGAGGTAATGATAGTATAATATAACTGACAATTTGTATGAATAAGAGTCGAAGCATTTGTCGATCGAATGATTGCTGTTTGCGTTCACGTTCTGTTGTACTCACAACATGTACCAGTTGATTTCTTGTTCGTCGTTTACGAGCGAGATTACGCTGAATAAGAACAGTACAAGCAATCATAATCGCCGTTGGAAGAATGAAACCACCAATAATAACATAGAGAGCATGATACATTGCTGCACCAGTATTTGTTAAAATACCACATACATTTCCTTTTATTTCATAAAATATGAGCCTATGTGAGCATATAATCGTCCAGACGATAGTAATGACAATTATAATACGATACGCAGTTCGAGTATTTCCTAATCGTCGCAGACGAACATTATCTGAACTTAGTGCATAACGATCGATGCATGCAAATGATACGAACCAACGAGAAAGCATGAGATTGATTTGAAAAAAATAACCGCGTACTTTGCAAAAAATGAGTGATTTAATTAATGGATTAGGATTATTGAGACTGTAGACCACTGGCGCGACACCTGTGCCCAGTGTTATCACATTATTGATACATGTGCCAAGAAAGTCTGTTGAAAAAGAGAAAACAAAGGTTTGAATACCAAACTATTTCTTATTCGGACTCTCAAATGGAATCTAACATTTAGTATGTTTCACATTTTTTGTGGAAAATACTCAATGTTCATGAATGTAATACCTTAAACATTAGGATTAGGAGTGAGCAATGGTAGAAGAAAACATTTGATCGCAATCACAGCTACAAGGAATCAATATTTACATAAATTAATTAGAAAATTACCGGGATGCATGAACTCATCAATCTACCAACTCGATTTTTTACACTTCATCAGATCTACATTATGTATAAAATAAATGTCGTAACGTTGCCGATATTTCGATAATAGATAGAAGAGATTCTCAAATCAATCATCATAATTAGAGCAACACATAGAGTAAGCCGACAAGCACAATACAGTACATGTTCTGATATCATGAGTTTGTTCTTGAAGTTTCAATTCCATGTTGTTATGATTTACTATGTGACTGAGTTATGCGCATTCTGTTTCAGTCACACTTACGGATCTTCTCAAAAAAACTTGGGATTTATACACGCAGAGTTATCCATGTATCCAAGAAATAAAGTTCCAATCATAACCGCGCTTACTAGACTTCAATCTCTTAAATTGTAGTCAACTGTTTATAATTCATTCTCTTAAAGTATTACCTAGGCTTGAAAAACAATTACACTATGTTCAAAATCTAAAACTAATTAAATTCTACAGTCTCTATTTGATTGAATGTTGTTCATACATTGCTTCTTTTATGAAATATCACTGATAGTGGAATCGTGTTTTTTTTCTCATGTAAAAGCAGATGCGAAATATGTCTCTTTATTTTTAACCTAATTCATTTCCTTTTATTGTATAGCTTCGTTGTTGTTGTGTAAGATCATATGAACCAATACTACTGTCTATTTCAATGTGTCACTGAACAATGTTTGTTGAATAATTTGAGACTAGAATAGATTACTCAGATTGAGTTTTCTGTTTCATGTGGCGAGGATCAGACTACATAAATTTATATGCGAGCCAAATTTCTCAACTGAAAAGATCTTCGAAAAACTACCTCATCGATCTGAGAAGTTTGACTAAATTAATTTTTATGTAAATTAATTTGTTTGATAGTTAAAGATCTACACTATGAGTGTCATACAAGTCGTAAATGATTTTGTTTTTTCGGATTCAGGTATGAAAAAAATCTTTATTGATATTTGAAGACCATTTTTAGATATTGTGAAATGTTTTCGACTTTTCATTTGTTTTATTATAATAGAATTGTCGAATTTAACAAATAAAGAGCAAAACGAAGAAATGCTGTATAATCAATGTACTATCATATAGTGATAAATTCTCGAAAACTTCTGTGCAGCTCAGAAAGATGGTGATATTTATATATTTTTTTTCTCTTTTATTTCAACGTTACGAATTAAATAAACTATTGTAATTTTCATTGAATATTAATCACTTCCTGACTGTTATGAATAAGAGACAGTTCTTCTTCGTTGGATGAGGCACGTGCTGCAAGTACCTGTTTTGGTTTTGCTTATTCAGTGGTCATGGTGATTCAATATTTGTCAAATTTCGTTAGAACTGCTAAGTTTTCGTAAAGATAAAAACCAATTACTTTTCCTATTCTATGCGCTCCGTGCACTTGTCAGTAATCGTACTTTTTTCGGGTAAAAATGAATCATGTAATTGAGGTGTTCGGTTGTACATCCAACGCTACTATAGATAACAAACAGTGTGACAGATTATTCTAGTGATCACGAGAAAGATCGGGTACCGATTCGCGTAAAAGAAAGAATATTTTTCGTGTATCGGTACTGGTTCGAATAGGACAAAAAGGGATACCTTCAGGACACTACCCAGGATCCCTCGAAAAGCATGTATTCTGACTCAGCTAAACTTGAATTTTCATGAAAACATCAATCGATGAGTTGGTTTTTTCAAAGATCTGCGTAGTTAAGAATCTTGATTCTTATATCCATTTTCATCGCAAGTTTCTACATATAATTCTGATTTTATGCTCAAGATTGATCAACTTTGTATATCCATCTTAATCTGGACATCTAACATTATTCAACAAATGAACGAAGACAACATCTTTATTAAAACTTCCATAGATCAAAGCAATTAATTTATCGGTTTCAACTATTCTTTACGCCATTGGATTCGCCAAAAGTGGACTACAAACTAGAGTGTACTTTTTTTATATTCTACACTATTCAATACTTTTTTCTTCACACAAGTCGTACTAAATTGTCAAGGCATTGTGTATCGTACGACATCCTATTCTACGAGACAAAGATAGACAACAGTTTGTTTTCTCAAAAAGTAATATCTGTTGATTGCAAGCAAGAGAACAGTATCGATCGAAATAATGTTTACAACATGATTTCATCGATTTATAAGAAGAAAACGGGTATGTGGATGTGTGAGCGGATATGGTTGTGAGTGGTAGCTCTTCACATCCAGACTCACACGTGCACATCTAATAAATTAAGATAGATTTTAGTTGTGAAATACTTTATCCTTTTCAGTCGATCGAATTCAACAGTTTTCAGTCTGTTTCTAACAATATTACAGGTAGTCCAAGAAGTATTGGGACGCCTAAGGTCATCGCATCCTTCCTCAAAATCGATTTTAGTCTAGAAACAAGCAAATTGCATGAAATTTTCAGGATATGTCGAGGCTGTAGTGGAGAAGCTATGGTAAAATTTTCAGCCCTATTCAATGACATTTCAGGGAGATATTCACCAAACAAGGGTCCACAATAGTCCGTTTGGCAACCTGAAATTCTCTGTGGGTCTTCATTCTATATATTTGATTTTTTTTCTCATTGGGAAAAGTATGTCACAATGCAGGGCATGACAGAGCTCTTTTGTCAAATTCTTTCTTTTTTCAAGTGGAGAAACGGGACGACAAAGTCAAGTACTCCAAAAAAAATCGGAGGAAAGGCAGTTTTTTTGAGTTATTTGACTTTTGGTCCTGTTTCTCCGCTAAAAAAGAAAGAATTTCAAAAAGAAGGACTCTGTTATGCCCTGTATTGTGACATTCTCTTTCAAATAAGGAAAAAAATGAAATATATAGAATGAAGACCCAGAGAATTTTAGGTTGCCTAACAAACTATTATTGACCCTTGTTTGATGAATATCTTCCTGAAACGTCATGGTATAGTGCTGAAAATTTTACCATAGCCTTCTCACTATAACTCCAACATATCCTGAGAATTTCATACGATTTGCTTGTCCGTAGACTAAAATCGATTTTGGAGATGGATGGAATGACTTCAGGTATCCCAATACTTTTTGGACTACCTATAAATCAGCAGTACACAATTCTATTGTATGAAAAATCAATTTATCGATGATACTCACAGATGCAACATGATGTTTTGCGTAATCGAGAACGAGAAAAAATAACGATATCAAGAAGACATCCGGGTACTCCAAATATGAGCCACATTGAATAGACGTAGCGAACTAATTGCTGTTGAATAGTATTAAGCGTTTGGGCTAATGATACTGAGGACATTTCAATAATGTATGTCCGTGCCTTTCGTAGAAGAGAATGTGAATATTAATGAAGAGAACTCTGTAGAAATAGAATCGTGACGTCAATCTTTTGAACGAGAGATGCGTTAATAGTTGTCAACGTTTATTGTCTTTGTTGTCTACTTTCTAAAAACAGATCTTGTCATAGTAGCTGTTGAATACATCTCGTTAAGAATCGTCGGAATGAGTCGTTCATAGGATCATATCTATAGAAGATTTAGTAGTTACTGAATTCACAGATAAAAATTCATAATGCACACATGCAGTTCACTAATAAACGCCTTTGATACTCTCAAAAAAGGGCGTCTTTCAAAAGAAAATAATCCACAATAATTATACCAACTTTGAAATTCATATGATGTTGATTAGTGACTATCTATTTTGTATATGTTAGCGTCAAGCATGTCCGACTCATCAATGCGCAGTGTTCTCAGAGAAACTATGATAGTTTTTAATTAGCTATGATCTTTGTCATTTTGTTCTAGTTTCCCTCCACTGTTTGTCATCTTTCTCAATGTTCATGAAATGTCAAACGATACGTGGGTTCCTTTTCTTTTTTCTGGTTTTAATTTGCTAGTTGTTTATCATTATTATTGAAAGACTTGATGGTACGAATATTTGTTATAATAAATTCTTGTCGTTGTTAGAGTTGGCTAGTATATTCTCGTAACATTTTTCTTTTCTTATGCTGAACGAAAACTTAAAAGACATTCGCTTCTCGATTTATGTGACTTGTGCATGCGAAACTATTTAAGTTTACTCTCATAAACTAATAAAATCTCACAATTGGCGGAGAAGGGATAGTTTTAATCTACATTGTTGCGCTCTTGTTTTCTTTGACATTTCTGCAGAAACCTCAACGAAAATGAACTCATCGGATGTATCATTGGCTGAAATAACAAGAAAAATCTTTCGTAACCGATAATAAGGATCGTTTATCATTATGACAGATTTATTAACCTAATAAAGATGAGCAGCGGCAACAGTCAACGTACAATACTTCTCTCACCTTTTTTTTACGATTGATTCTGCACAAAAATTCGCATATACGCAAATTCTGCGAACAAAATGAAAATATTGAAAAACAATTTTCAAAATCTGTCTTTGCTAAACGCTAATAAATACAATCATAAAATGCAACAAAATCGATAGAAGTTCGTATATTTGTTTCTTCAAATAAGAAAGAAACTTTTTAAAATGCTCACTTCACTACTTAGTGAAAATTAATTTCAGGCAAAATGTTCAAGTGATACAAAAACAGGGACGTCAGCTATGGAAAGACAGTCATCATCATCCGGCTTTTTATAATGGATGGCTCAGAATAAAATAGAAACTTATGTTTTCTGCTTTTAAGACATTATAAAAATCGTTTTAAAAATGTAACATTGAATTCATTTGATGCAAAATTTATTGCTCTAAACAACTATTGACTTTATTTTCTAAATAACAACTTTTTTCTTGTTCGAGCAAAATTCAAGTAATTCATGCTAGATCAATCATCCAACGACAATCTGGTAATTTTGTGTATATTTATCGGTTCATTTCAAATCTGTTGCTAAACATTAACGTATTCTAGATCAGTTGACGAAAAATTCTGTTTTCGATGATTTTATTATGATATTTTTAATGGTCTTACCCCTATCATTCACGAGGAAAAGGATTAGGATGGAAATCTGTTTCTGTTTTTCAATGCATTTTGAAAAATATGCTTTTTCTAGGCTAGATCTACTTGATGAAAATTGTATTCTCGCCCTATCAGCTGCCGAATTAATTCTGAAGGAAGTGACGTAACTTTTAATTTGAACAGTGAAAGTTCTTAGGTTATTCATTGTAAATACAAGGATAATGACAAATCTTTCAGAAGCGTGATTTTTCTTTCTTGTTTTAGCATTTCTCTATTGAAATATTCTTACAAATATCTCTTCTAAAATTTTAAAACACATATCAAACGATGCAGAGTTTTACAGAGAAAATCATGATATAATCGAAATTTATCTATAACTGTTAGTAAGACTTTGTAACTTGTTTTTTTTTGGTTTTGGACTGTCGTAGTTGGACGGTTTGAGTGGCTATTTACTGTTTGAATTGTACGTGAAGAAGAGAAATTCATTGGGAAAGTAAAGTTGACAATTTTGAAGTGAATTTCATTCTATATCGAACTAATCAAATACCAGATTTTAAATCGGTGTTATAATGCCTCAAAAGCAGACAACAAAAGTAGTCATTTTATTCTGGGTAATCCGCTGACTATAGGGAGGAGATGAACTGAGAAAAACCTTGAAAAAAGTATTTCGAACGTTGCCCTGTTCTATTGTGAGCAAGCAGAAGAGTGATGATCAGACGCTCGAGGATTTTCCAGATAGATATGACAACGGTGAAATGGAATTTAAAAAATTCGAAAAGGGATAAAAATAATGGTAAAAAACTGTTACAAAAAATGTCAAAAAAATGCATTCTATTGTAGACATTAAAATGTTATCTTTTAAACCATTCTCTTTATTAATTCAAAATAATAATTTTAGTGTCTAAAACACGATACATTTTTTTGGCATTTTTTGTGACGTTACAACTGATGTGTCTATTTTTAAAATGAATTGAATCTGTGTTGTTTCCTTTCTTCTCAATCATTGTTCTTTGTTTTACAAACATAGATTATAATCGACCAAATAGAGTGAACTAATCAGGTATCTTTGAATATAGAAAATAGAACAGTAATGAAATGAATCAATAATGTAAATTGATTGTTCCGACATCAATATATATTTTGTTAATTAAATATATAAATGAAATAATAAAATTACAGTTACCTCTAAATAAATCTAATTTTGCATTAAAACTATGTATGTTCCTTTTTATTTATGAAAGAAATAATGTGATAGACTACAAATTTCAACTTATATTTATTATTCAAAATATATCTATCTGGTTTGTTAACCATTGTTTGAAAGCGAACATCAAATGAAATGTGATAACAACTGAATAAGGAATTACAGTTGATGTAAACTACTATTTGGATTTGTATAAAATTAGAAATGAATATAGACACATGTATATCAGTCACTCATTATGCCTGGACACGCGCACAGTAAATAAAGCAATTCAAATACTTGATATATTGAAATATGTAGCGAAAAATTACAAATACACGATTGATTGCATTATTCGTCGTACGTTTTCATGCATGTTTGTGACGTTTTATCTTTTTCTTCATACTTTATTAGACTATGGATAATTGTGTAGAGATGGACAAGAAAATAGAGCATGAGAAAGTTAAAATCGATACATAAATGTTTGTTTTAAAAAGAGAGTAGAATAAGAGAAGAGAACACAGTAGGGATGGAAAAAATAATAGTCACTTATTTGCTATGCTTTCCAAGTGTGGTTAAGACATGTTTTTCTCCTTTCATCTTATTGTGCTCTAGTACCTTATATATCTTTTTGTCTCTCTAGTCACGTATTTCTCTATTCCTTTCTACACGTGTCATCTTTTTAAACCATCCACGTCCATCAATTACTGTCAAAATCTCTCAGCATAGCCCACATGCTGAGCAGCAAGTATTATGCTGCCTACTTCCAACCCTCCTATTCCACCAATCTTCTTAACATCCACTTCGTTATAATACAATTTTGAACAAACAATATCCTTTCAATGCATCAAATGTCCACATGAACTTTCAACATTATCTAGCTCAACAAATGTTAGTATCTCAGTTCTAGCCTCCCCAACACGCGGTATATTTATCCAATCAAACATGCTCTTCAAACATCAATAATAATAACAACCCAAATCAATAGACCATATTAAATTATCTAAATGTTATCTCTCTCTTACATCAACATCCAATGCCAATGTTTCACAATCAACTTAATCATCAGCTAATGACAACTAATTCTTCATGTTCCTCTAATAACAACGTCATTCAACATGTTCACAATACACCTAATCAACAACAAATCCATCAATCCCAATCACAACGTGTAGTCGTTCCTATGGAAAGCGGAAATGATGATAATTTCACAATTGTTAGTCGTAAGAAGAAGAACGCAAAAATGGACCATGTTCATTTCAGAATACTGTCATCAACAACATCAACAATTTTCACCACAACTGCCGACTGTCCAA